TGGTGCCAAGTGCTCTACAAGGCACTGGTAGGCAGGACACCAGCCCCGGCCTTCACGGCATTTACTGTGTAGGGGAGGACAGACAACATACAAACAGGCAAAAATGGATAAGTAGCCAAAGAATGTAACTGTAGAGTGAGGGAGAGACCTGGGGGAGGAAGGGTTAAAACATGCCTCTCTAAGCTGAAAAAAAATGTCCACAAGAGCCTTCCAGTCCTGGCCCATGGTCGGCCTCTGAGAAGTCACCACCTCTACCCATGTCTCCAGCTACGCTCTAAACAGTTCGTCTTCTCTGGTCACTACAAAAACTCGAGGCTAAAATAATAGAAATGTATTTTCTTACCCATTTGGAAACTGAAAATCCCAGATCAAGTCTGGCAGAGTGGGTCTGTAGTGAGGGCTCCATCCTGGCTGCAGAAGGCTGCCTTCTGGCCACACCATCCCATGAGGGAGAGAGGGGAGTGAGGGAGTTGGGAGGGAGGGTGGGGGTGGGGGAAGGAGGGCGCACACACGTGGTCTGCTAAGGACACGGATCCTATCGCAGCAGGAACTCGCCCTTAGGACCTTAACTTAATTATTTACTCAGACAGCCCATGTCCAAATATCACCACACTTGGTGGTGGTGTGCTGGGGGAGGGGATGTAGCTGCAACACGTGAATTTTGGAGGAACACAAAGCAAGCATGACAGTGAGCGTCTGGCTTCATCATCTGTGGCAATGACCCAAAGGAAGGTCATTGTCCTTTGACCTCACAGCGCAGGAGCCAGCTGCCACCACCTTGGCGGCTCTCCACATGCTCCCTTGTTTTTCCAGCTGCCAACTAGGTGGGGTGATAAGGTTTCCCCTCAACCCTTCTCCAAGGACCAAGGGCAGACTATGCCCCCCACACCAGCCCCCAAATTCATGAGACCTCCATCTGGTAGCCACTCCTGACCTAGACACACCCTTTACAGTGTGAGCCATTGAGAACCTCTGTGGTCGGCTTCCTGATTGGCTGAGACGAAGCTGTCACGAGGGAGAGGGGGAAACCACCAGGAAATCTGTCCCCACCCCATGTACCCACGGGCACTGCTGTCTGAAAGTCACTGAGCATGCTTCCTGCCACACCATAGCTGGGGTGCTACTCTTCTGAGTGCCCAGAAGTTCTCAGCAGCCCTGTTCACGGCTTCCGTGTGTTTGGGTAATGCCTTATCACTGTGTTTTCTTTGCCTCAAATCTGCGTCCCTGGTACTTAGCAGGCTCACACCTGAGCAGTCAACAAACACTGGCTGGATGAGAGCTGTCCCTGGAGAGGGTTGCTCAGGCAGGAATGCTGAACTCTCTGAGCCCCCAACACACCCCAGAAACCAGCGTTCAGGGCAGAAAGCAGGTTGACAGGAGAACTGACCCTGAGGCAGAGTCTGGGAGGGAGGGCCTGGTGGCTCCTCAGCCTGGCTCTCTGAATCCCAGGCCTGCACTGCCATCCCCAGGCCACAAAGCCGTTCTCCCTCATAGGTGTTGCAAACCTGGCTGGGAAACGCAAACCACCCTCATAATCAGGGCTCCTGATCCCAGAGAGGTTGGGGAGCTTAAGACCATTGGGCTCATCATTCTTCTCTCTTCCCTGTGCCCGCCCATTGCCCATGCCCCGCCCTGTAAGCTGGCAAGAGTGCAGGAGGCAGCAGGGAGCACCCTGCAAGTGTTCTTTCCTTACCCAGGGTAAGGTGCCCTGCAAGCACCCGGTCTTGTAACATGCAGACCCTGAGTCAGACAGGCTCGGCCTGAGAGGCTGCCTTTCTGGCAGAGCCCAGACGCTGATGATGTCATTGAGGCTTGGCATTCAAAATGCTATCCAAGGGCTAGAAAGTCAGGACACCTAGATTTTTGCTACTTAGGGTGCAGTCCTCATCCACTGCGATCAGCACCCTCAGGGAGCTTGTTAAAGATACAGAGCCCTTCCCCAGACTCTGTTTCCAATGCTGTGAAGGCTGCTGCGGGTCTCCTCTGAGGACCAAGTTAGTGTTAGAGTGTCCAGTGTGTCACAGGGGCTCGACAAGGGACAGTTGGAAGCCCCGAAAGCTGAGTGAGCCCTGAACCAAGTCCAGAAATTCATTCTGGGGTTTATGAAGCTTTCCCATGGGCTCAGTCTGGGCTGGACGCTGCCGCTTGAAGCTTTGAATGGGACGAGAAAGGCTTTGAGAGAGGCAGACAGACAACAAGCCATCATCTGAGCCAGGACCAAGGACTGTGGAGACAGGAAACAGGCTGTGAGCTTCTCTAAGGTGGGATTGTTCCACAAGGCCTCTCCTAGACCAGCAAGCCAAAACTAGGTCCTGAAAAGGTCAACCCTGAAGAGAGCCAAGAGGAGGAGGTGGGAGAAGCAGGGCAGGCCTCATCCACTCCATCCCACTCCCCGGCTCTGCTGTGAAGCCTGGGCCCCCTCACTGCATTCCCGAACAACGGTGCCATCTGTAAAAGGGCTGTGATCACTGGCAATGTGGCTTTAAAATCTGAAAACTGGGCCCTCCCTGGTGGCGTAACACGTGAAAGCGCAGTTGTATGATGCCATTGTAGCCACTGCAGCACGAGTTCGATCCCTGGCCAGGGAGGTGACCCACACAGCACAGCAGACCTCTTCTGACCCGCCCGCTGCTCCCCTCAGCAGTGTATGTCAGTCAACCTGCCTGTTCTGCTCCCCCCTGTCTCTGGTGAAGCTTCTCAGTGCCCCCGCACCTCTAGCCTGTACCCCAGTTCTGTATGTATAAATAAATAAATCTTTTTTAAAAATCTGAAAACCTCTGATGCTCCACTGTCTGACAGACAGGGATCTATGTCTCTTCTCCTTGAATCAGTTTCTGTTTGCTCCAACCAACAAAGTATGACACAAACGCCACCAGTGTGTCTTTGAGGCTATTTAAAAGGCCATGTTGTTTCCGCCTGGTCTCTTGGGAGTCTCAGGTAAGAAACCCAGCTCCTGACCCTGAAAAGCCACAGATGGGTGTTCTGGCAACAGCACCAGCTGAGTTCCCAGCACATAGCCTACTTCACCTGCCAGTCATGCCAATCAGCCACCTTGGACACCTTGCTCAGTCATTATTCAGCAGCCCACAGCCCGCACCAACATCAACTGAGGCCCAGGCAAGAACCGCCTCACTGAGCCCTAGATGAACTCCTGACCCTAGTTTCTAGAAATTAGAAATAAAGTGATTGCTGTATGAGAGAGCAATTTCTTCCATATTACAGTAAAGGGAGCGCCCATCTCTCTGCCCGCTTTCATAAATCTCTCCCTCACACACATGCGCCAACCACCTGGGCTTTCTCTGTTCTTAGACATGCCGAAGTGGTTGTTGAGATCTCTCTCTTTCTCACTCTCTCTCTAGAGAAACTTCCCTTCTCCACCCTGCCCCCCTCCACCTTCATATTCCTTATCTCCAGGTCTCACCTCACATGGTCAGTCCTCTGGATCACCTGGCCAGTTTAGGCCCCTTGTCACTATCACATCACCTTGTGTTTACAGCACTTGCAGTCCAGTGCTTTCTCTTCTAATGACCACACCCTCTGCCTGAATGTCCAGACCATGAGGGGAGTGTCATCGCCTGTTCTGATATCTGTGTATCCCCTTCCCTTTATTTAAGCAGTATAAAGGAAGCATAGATACAGGTTTATTAAATAAATGAGCCCACGGGAAGGAAACCACCAGGACAAGGAGAGAAGCGCGGGAAAGGCAATGCTATCACACAATGGTGAGACGCCAGCGCGCTGGCTGGGGCGGAGTTCAGATCATCAGCAGAAAAAGGCCAGGGCCTTCTGGAACATGAAAACAGCCAGGCTCGTGGGGCTGGGCCTGATAAAATATACTCAACAAAATTTACCATTTTTAAGTATCCCGGTAAGCAACATAACGCACATTCACTTTGGGGTGCAGGCTTCACACCACCCATCTTCAGAACTCTTCATCTTGCAAACTGAAAGTTTCCACTAAAACTAGCTCTCCCTCTCCCGCTGCTCAGCCTTTGCTAACTGCTATTCTACTTTCTGTCTCTACATATCTGCCTATTGTAGATCTGCTAACAGAGGAATCATAATATTTGTCCTTCGGTGCACAACGTCTTCAAGTTCCGTCCATGGTATAGCACATAGAATAGTGTAATAAGCCATTTACTTCACTGCTTTTTATGGCTGAATAGTAGTGCACTGAGTGTGAATAGCACTTTTATCCACCATTCATCGGCACAGACGGACTGCCTGTTTCAATGGATTTGCTGAGCAGCGAGGTGGAGGACACCCAGGGCCGGCCAGTATTTCTTTAACCGTCACCCACTCATCCCAGCACCGTTTCAACTCGAGGATCTGGGCTCAGGACACACCTCCAGGGAGAGCCAAGGAGCTGGGCGGGCCAAGGCTGAAAAGTTCAGGCCGAGAAGGGAGCAGGGCGGGGCAGGGCGGGGTAGGTACGGAAGGGTTGGGGCTGGGCTGTGGCCGCCCCTCCCAGACTTCCCGACCGCTGCCCGCCCCTTCCCGGCCGTAAGACCCCGCCCCGGGGCCGCGGCCGGCCCCTGTCGCCGCCAGTGCGCAAGCGCAGGAGAAGGCGGAAGGTGCTCCACGCGGAAGGCTCCGTTCCCCCGGGTGTGAATCCGTCGGTCCGGGGTTTTGGCCCCGCCGGGAGCTCTGTTTATAAACACACCGCGCGGCCACAGGCGAGGGGTAACCCTAAAGGTAGCGGGGTCGGAGGTCAAAGGTGAGCGGGGACTCCTGCACAGACCGAACTCTTCCTCCTCGCTGAGGATGGCCGGCCGGCGTAGCCCGCGGAGCGGCCTTGCCACAGCCCCGGGTTGCTGGGGGCGCCACGTGGTGCGCACGTGGTCCCGTCTGGGCGCAGCGGCCTCCCCTCCCCCGCAGCGCCCCCTGGCGGCGACCGAAGCGCCGAGCTGCGCAGTGCGCCTGCGTACCACGCGTCACGACGCGCCTTCCGGTCTGCTCGGGTGTCAGGAGGGTCGTGGCGTCCCACGTCCCCATGACGGCTGCACGTCAGCCGCTGCAGGGTCCAGGCTCGGGTCGGGTGCGGTGAGGTAGGGTGGCCCCCTCAAGGTCACACATTCCGGCTGGCGCGGCCGCTTTAGCGCTGAGGCGCTGTGGCCCCGCGGGAGGCGGGGAGAGGCCGCTGAGCTCCACGTGGGTCTGGGCGCAGCACCGCCGGCAGCAGTGACACTTGAAAGAACGAATCGGCATTGTCTGGGCAGGGCCCCGGCTCTCTGCTCCCTCCCCTGCCTGAGTTCAAGTACCTTGAAGGCTCTTAAATCCGTGCCCTTGTGTAGTGCTCAATGCATATTCGATCATATTAACGGATGGAGAGTCAATGAATTATTAAAATAACCGAGTGAGGTTTCCGGGTTTTTATAACATCACTTATTCTACAGCTTCTGTTTACGAGATTCTCTGTGAAAACACTATTGGGCGCATACCAGGTTATGGCAGCTGCTCTTTTGCTTAAAGGATTGGAGGAAGCTTAGAAAGATTAAAAACCAAACTGCCCCCAGCCTTTCCCTCCCCCATTTTAGGCTTATTTCCCATGTAAAGACTCACAATTGGATTGTCGCTCCTGGTTAGTCTGTTGGATTAGTTCTTGAGTTTACATCCTTCAACATGTTTTAAATCTGCTCTAGGCTTTAGGTGCCTGCTCACACCAAACGTGGTTGCTTCAAAGGCAGGCCAGGAAGTCCTTATCCTAGAGATCAGTCTGATAGTACAGGTTTTGCAGTTGACTGGAGGCTGGTGCATGTGTGCAGAATGCATTTATTATAAATTTTACTGATAAAAATACAGGCAGCACTGCCTGTAAACAGGATAAAACAAAATACTCTTGTGAATCTCGCAAAGGCCAGCCAATTATCAGGAACTGCTTTTGCTTGTTTTTGTTGACTCCTACATCCATCGCTAACTCACAGTTGAAATTTAATTGATTTGTTCCCCAACCTACTGCTTCCTGGGGGGAAATGTAGTCATTAAATATAATATATGATAGGAATGTGGCTTTGATAGTACATGAGTGAGGAAAGCAGAAATTAGAACAAAAAGACGCAGTTCAGAACTGTATTTTCAGTAAATGAGCAGCAGCTTTGCTGTGCTGAGTTACAGTTTTCCAGTCCTGGATAACTGTTTCCTCAATATTATGACTGTTCACAAGGCAGTGGCTACAGCCATGGTGTAAATGTTTAGTTTAACTGCATTGTTAGTTTTCTCCATTATTTTTATAACTCTAGATTAGGGACTGACAAGTGTTTTCTTCGAAGGGTCAGATAGTGAGTATCTTAAGATTTACTGCACACTTGTGCACTCTAGCATGTATTCTTTGTTTTGTTCTTAATCTGAACAAAGGCCAAATCTGGACTTCATACTCTGAATTGTGATATTTTCAGATTTCCTCAGTATTTCTCTGATGGCTTATTGCAAGCCACCAACATGGTGTCTGAACCCCATGTAGTATCTGAACCAAGGTAGCGTATTGGAACATGAATCTTTGTCCCAACATACTATGCAACTGTCCTCACTCCATGCCTGGTTCTAAGCTATGAAATAGGTGTGAGTTAGATCCTAGTGCCTGAGTTTTAGCTCAGTTCTAACACTTCTACCTGCCTGTGTATCTCAGCAAGTATCCGTATCCTTGTCTTTAAAATGAAGATGGCAGTAGCAAGTGCCTCAAGGGGCAGGCTTTGGTGAGACCCCATTTTCAGTGGACTGTGTTAAGTGACTGACTCCCTCTTTACTTTCACCCATTATAGAGCCATCAAGGGGGAGGCGGTTTGGTGCCTGCTCCAGGATGCACTTAGGTGTGTATTTTCCACAATGACCCACCAATGAGTGAAGGACTTAGGAATCCAAGTCAATCACCAACCATCCACCAGTTCCCCAAGCTATTCAGGAAACATCAGACTTCCAATTTGAAGTTTGGTAGGAGATTCTGGAAAAGGATTCGTAGTAAAAAATAACCATACAAGGAGGTGACCTCCCTTTCCAGAGAGAGAGGAGCTGAGAGTGGCGAGTCCAGTGGTCACTGGGCCACCAGGCTGGCACAGGAGGAGGGCATAGCCACTCATGATGGACAGCTGGTCAGGACACACCAAGATTTCACGTACTGCCAGTCCCAGAATTCTGTGCTCACTTATTTCAGCACAACTTAGACCATTGCAAGTTGGGTCTCTGGGCCTTGATGGGATGGACTTGTTGCATCCAGGTCAGTTCACTATGTAGAGCATTGTCCTTTAGCCAACCAGGGACGCTGGTGTTGGGTTCTGTGCTTGGAGTTGAGCAAGACAGGAGTGCATGGTGGCTGATGTTTTGTGGTGGCTAAACAGGGCTTCCCACCTCCTGGCAGTTTTCTACCTATTTGATCATGTTATTTTCAGAACAGCCAACAGGGACAGGTAAGGCCACCAACCGTGTCTTAGCCTGGGTCACAGACTGGGACCTAAACAACAACCATTTCCCTCAGTCTAGAGGCTGGAAGTCAGAGATTGGGCTCTCTGCAGAGTTAGTTTCTCCTAAGGCCTCTCTCCTTAGCCTGTAAGTGGTTTTCTTTTCACTGTGCCCTCATTTTACTTTGATCACCAAGGTCGTATCCCAAATTCCTGAGAGTTAGGGGGCAGCATGAACTTGGAGGGGAAACAGGTCAGCCATAACACATCCCCCTTGAAGACACTGAAACCAAGACAGGTCACATCTCTCACGAAAGGCCACCTGTTTATCAGGAGCAGACCAGGCCTCGCACCTACAGAGCCTCACTCCCTGTTATGAATTGAACATCTGTTCCCCCGCACCCTACAATGTTCATACACTGAAACCAAACCCTCAGTGTGATGGCATTTGGAGGTGGGTCTTTAGGAAATACTTTCTGAGGGTGAATCCTTCGTGAATGGGATTAGTGCCCTCGTTAGAAGACCCAAGATTGCTGTCTCTCTATCCCCTCTCCCTATTCTTCTCTCCCCTCTCTTCCTGACTCCCTTGTCACAGAGGACACAGAAAAAAGGCCGCCAACTGCAGACCAGGAACCTGGTTGACCCGATCTGTCCTCACCCCACCTTGAACTTGCTAGTCTCCAGAACTGTGTGAAATATTATTTGTTGTTTAAGCCTCCAGCCCATGGTATCTTTATTGTAGCAGCCTGAGCTGATGAAGACACCACCCCACATTATACTCTGTGGCCTCTGATGCTTGTCATGAAACACTTAGGTGCTGAGGTGACATCATTGTCAGCCATGTATTATTTGCTGCCAGTTGTGTACCTGCTAACACATCCGGAGCCTAGCTTTGGACACTCAGAATTGTTAAGTGAGTGCACGATCGAGGCCTGGCCCTGAGGAAGGAGCCTCACTCTCATGTGACCTCTCCATCCCACCCACACTCAACCTCAGGGACAAACACAGCCCAAGGAAGCATGGAGCCAACATAGATCCTCTGGGCCATGGTCTCTGGGTCTGCTGGTCACCACTTTCCTTCCTGTTTTTGGTCCTATGCCCCTTTGCCATCTCAGTTCCCAAGTCCACATGTCTGCTGTGATCACAGGATTCCAGTCAACCTGCCCAGAGGCCACCAAGGCTGGCTGGGACCCCTGTCACGTTGCAAGAGCCTGTATACCCCTGTCCAGGGGCTCAGCCACTGTGGCACCTCCACTCCCCACACCCTGTTTCTTTTCTCTGGTCTGCAGATTTCACAACAGAGAACAAGGGTCCTGGAACCCTAGCCTCTGCTCAAGTGCCTTTTCAGCTTGAGTCTCCTCTCTGCCTTCCTAACTGACAGATCCACCCAGAGAAAGCTCCTGCTACCAGCTCAGGTCCAGCGCTTGGTCTGGCAAGGACGACACTGAGCAGGCCTGAGCGCTGGATTCCAAGCCAGCAGCCCCTCAAGGCTTTATCCCGCTCTGTGGAACAAAGGCCGGAGGCCCTGGGAGCTCATGCTGCTGCTCTATTGAAATCTCGAGGTGGTTCCCTATGAATCACTCCCTTTGGTGCCTCCGAGGCCAAAAGAAAAAAAAAAGAGTCAAACAAAACCTCTTTTCTAAGCAGGAAGAGCTTTCCAGGGGCCCAGCAAAAGATCTCCCACCCCTCTCCCCAGTATAACACTACCAAGATGCTTGGGTCTCGCAGACTCACAAACAGGACTGGCTGCCTGGCTGCGTGGAGAGGGGGGTTTGGAATGTGCCCAGATGAGCTGTGTGCTCTGAAAGGCTTCATGCACGAGGCAGGGCGGGGAGCAGGGGTGTTCGCCTGCACACAGCCCCTTCCTTGTTTGATGTAGAAACTGTAAAGAGCCAATTAAGTGGTGTTTTCTTGGTTTTTTTTTTTTAAGCGGACACATACTAGGAGGGTGGGAGAGAAAAAAATCCTATTTCTGTTCCTCTCAGACTTAACCTTGAAACTGAATACTTTTATCTCTTCCCTCTCCCCTCGTTGCCAGTCTGCATTAACCAATAACGTTGCACTATTCGTGATTCTTTAAATATGACGTTTGGCTTGCTTTCGAACAGAAAACAGACCAAGACACCAAGCCATCATTTCCCCAAAGTCTTTATCTCTCTGGGGACCAGGCCTGCCTTTATTTGGATTGTCCAGTTGCTGCGAAGTGGCCTTTTTGTCCAGATGCTGTGGCGTGAAGAGTGGAAGTATGAGCTTCATAAAAATTTCACAGCCATAAAAGAAAGGGGAAAAGCTGACTCGACGAGCAGCTGAGTACCATCTTTGCACACTGGAGGACAGAAATCCTTCAAAGTCAGCGCACACTGGCTTGGGAAATCAGGTGAATAAAGATACTGACATCCGCTGCCTAGCAAGGGGTGGGGTGCACTTGCAAATCCAGATTCGGGTGTGCCTTGAGTACAACGGTGCATCTCGAGTGGGCATAGTACAAGCTGCAGGAAGGATGAGGGGCCAGGAGGAGGGTATGGACTGACAGGCCGGCAGCAGCATGGTGACATTGTTACAGCATTGTCACAGCCATGTTGCAATTACACACGAAACACACATTTAGGAATTACTGAAGTTATTGTTGTTCCCAGCCCTTCTCTGTCCTGTGGTAAGGTTGTCCCCGAGGTTTGCCAGGCCACTCTGCCTGCCTCCCAGGGGGACACGTGGCACCTTCATCCCACCCCTATCATTTGGCCATGTTACTTGCTCTGGCCCTTGGACTATAAGCAGAAGCCCGTGCCGGGTAAGGCCAAGCTGAGGCCTCGGGAGGCATAGCAAGTTCCCTCCGGCCCTCCTGCAGTTCTGGAAAAATTTATTCCGAGTAGCTATTGGTCCAAATAGAATGACAAGACCTGATCCCAGTCAGTACCCTGGGACCCGCCATAATTGCATTGAATAGGTCTTTGGTGCTTATATTTTAAATCACTAAAGAATGTTTATGATTTAGCAGCATGGGAGGGAGGGGAGCGCATTTCACATTTGAATCTTGGCAACCAATTCCATGTTTGAAAACCCTGTATTGGGAAAAAAACAGGTAGGGGTTGGCATGGCCCTGAGCCTCCACTGGGCCATCTCTGGCTTAGTTTAGCCCTCCTCATTTCCTTTTGAATTCCGAAACAAATAGGGGTTAACCCCTTCCTGTTTGGCACAAGAGCCTGAGGCTGGGGGTGAGGAGAGGCCTCATTATAGTCTCGGCCCTGTCAGACGTGTGCTTTCTCCTGGGATAGGCCGACACTCTAGCCTGCGCCTCGTCCCCAAAGGCTCTCTGACACCTGGGCCATGATGATGTCACCATCAAACTGAGCTCTGGGGTGCTGGGTGTGCACAATCTAGCCAACCTGTGGCCGCTGTGGGCACCACCTCTCCACAGCAAACTCCCACTGTGCTTCTAGATCCTCACTAGCTTTTCAGAAACGCTTACGTTGTGGTAGAAAAGCTCACATTTTTGTCAGTTTGCTGGGCCACAACACCCAGATAACTGGTCAGAAATGATTCCGGGTGTTTTTTGGATGAGACCCACATTTAAATCAGTGGGCTTAGATTTCAGTTGACCGCCCTTCTTGCGTGGGTGCACCCGGTCCAGTCAGTGGAAGGCCCAAAAGTATGAAGCCTTCCCCAAGTCAAGCAGAACGGGAGCACTCCAGCGCTTGTTCTCCAGGCAGCTGGCCCACAATGGAGAACCAGAATCCCATGAACCATTCCTTGCAATAAATCTCACAGTCACATGTCACTGGATGTTAGGGATTTGCCCCAAGAAGACATCAGCAGACAGTTTCATCAAGTGCAAATGTCAAGGAGCACAATCACACATAGTGGGACTGCTTACCGCACAGGACAGGGACCCCTGTGTGCTCGGCCATTGGCAGAAACACCCAGAGGGACTCCTGCCTGCATCTGCCATCATTAGATGTTAGCTGGGGGAACCCTGGTTCATCTGTTAGGCCTTCGGCTTTGTTTGTTTTTCCAAATGCTCTTATCGGAGCAGCCAGACATTCCAGTGTCACCTTGTGGAGGCTGAGCACAGATGCCTCCCCTGTGTGTGCATTGTTGGGCCCACGCGAAGTACCAGCTTCTCTATCAGCAAGAATCATTTTGCCCTCCCACAGATGACAGCCCTGAGGCTGCTGGGAACAAGCGCCTATACTGAGCTCACCGACAGAGCCCCTTAGGGTAGAGCCGGGATTTAATCCCAGGTCAGTGGCGTTCTGACATCTAGCAATACGCCCACGTTCTTTCCCCTAAATGTGGTTTCTGAATACTTAGGAGAACACATCTGTAGGGGTCTGTTCCCATGGAGCTCGGTCTTAACATAGACAATTGTTTCGGTGTTTCAGCCCAAGAAGTCAGATGCGCTTCTTACAACGGAAGTAAACTTGAGAGACAGCTTGGGTTACTTGACCTGTAATCGGCAATGTCTGCTCACTTTCTGGAGGTCAACAGAGTTAGTGCCTGGAACTTCACCTGCATGAGGTGTGTGCGTAGCCTAGAATGGCTGGGAGAGTCCTACCAGGACAGCTGAGACACCCTGGAGCTTTGCTGCTGTGAGATTTCTCTTTGTATTTAATAAGAGAATGCTCATAATAATATAATAATGGCCCTGCTGTGCTTCCTAGGAATCCACCATGCCAGGTAAGGTGAGAATTGAAGGTACAGCTGAGGACCCAGGCACTGTTACTCCACAGGAAGTACTCAGGCCTGCGAGGACTGGTCCTTGAAGGTAAACAAACAAAAACACTAATAACTGGAAAGTTTCCTTTTCTGCCTTAAGGTTTTCAGCACAAATCTATACACAGGAGATGTTCCTCTCACCTCATCTTCAACACATCCCCCCGCCCCCCAAATGAAGAGGTCAGAAGCATGGCCTACGTCAAAATGCAACCAGTGAGGCCAAGGTTGCTGCTTCAGTGTTCGGCTCAGCCCTACGCCGTGACGGGCCTTTCAGAGTTTTCAGCATTTTGCAAAGAGTTATTCCTGGTGCATGTACTGTGCCGTTATTTAAGCAGATATCAACTAAGGATTTTTTTTTTTTTAACGGGAAAATACTCTGTGCTGTGAAAAAACAAGATAGGACACTGAGTGTGTGTGTTGAAGGACACTAAGCTACTCAAAGGAGTCCGCGTGGAGCCCATACCTGTGACGGGTTCCTCATGCAGACACACATACAGTCTTATTTCCAATAATGAACATATGTTGCATTTCCAACCAGATGTGTCATTTTTTTAATGCAATTAAGTAGAAACTGGGGTAACTAATATTCTCTCTCTCCCATATGCTACCTTTTTTGATGATTGATTTTTGTGGTCCATTTAAGTTCCTTTATGTCAACTCTTGCTATGCCTGCTTGTTGCTTGGTTACGAACATTTGTAATGAGGCCTTTTTCTCCTCATGCTCCTTAGTCATTGCAGAGTCATCCGGTGTGAAATGATTTCAGACCAGGGCAATAAATGAAACTACCTGACCTTCTCAGTGATCACACCATCCACCTTACGAGACATTAGTGCTGCTGCCAACTTCCCAAAACATTAAGTCTAGTCAATGTACTAGAAAGAATAACACCTTAAAGATTCATGATTCCTGGTTTTTGCTTTTACACCCCACTGTGAAAATCTCTCCTCCTACCTGTCTCCTCAGTGCTGCTGAGAACCTAGATTTTGTCCCCGTACCCACTTGCTATCAGCACCAGGTGAGATGGAGTTCGGTTCTTCTGAGAGAACCATCATCAGGCACAGAAAATCGAGGTGACCTCAAATCCCTCGTCAGGAAGTGTCATACAGCCAGTGAGCCATGAGGGAAGTGGACCCTGGGTGAGGAGCGCCTTAGAAAGGTGCTTTTGTTCCTAAAAAGAGACCCTGGTTTGTGAAGATGGGGGTGCCTGGGTCCCCTGCAGCCATTATAAAATCATTACTTGATACGCCAGGGACAGAGGAGCCCAGCGACAGACAGAAACCAAGTTGCAGGTGGCATCTCTGTACTGACCCATCCTAGGACTGACCTGTGTCCTAAGTTCTTTCCTGTAAGATCGTAAATTCCCACAGTATCGGAACTGTTGAGCTATTTTTTCTGTGGTTTTTAACAAGCCTTATCACTGAGTCAGCGTGGGTAGTAAGTGTTTGTATTCTGTGAGCCCCTGGGCTCCCTCTACATCCGGGTCATCAGGGAGCTGACAAGGGCCTCATTTTATTCCCAGAAGCAACCAGTTTCAGATGATCAGCTATATCAGCTATGTGCTTTTGTTCCAGCTTGAAATTTCATGGACTGGAGACTTACCTCTAGCACCTCCAAATGTGACCTCAGTGGAAGTAGCATCATGGAAAGTGGTGTGATTAGTTAAATGAAGCCACCCTGGAGCTGAGGACTGATGTCCTCCTAAAATAGGGGAATTTGAATGCAGAAGTGCAAGCAGGGAGAAGGCCTGGGAAGGTGTTTACACCTTTCAGACTGGCGACAATTATGACGCCTGAGCCCAGGATGGCGAAGACGAGGCGCGATGGGAACGCTAATGCAGACTGGGATGATGGCTTGATGTTATCTGAAAAAATGAGAACTTGTATGGTCTGTGACTCACAAACCTGCCTCTAGATAGATAACCCCGAGTGGCGGCTCTCCAGCTTTCTCATGCATCGGGATCTGCTGGAGGTGCTCTTGGGCCCACCCCCAGAATGTGAGTCCATAGAATCTGCTTTTTGGTTGTTTTTTTTTTTTAATTTTTGCATGAAAAAGCTGAGATGTAGGCCAGAGGTGCAGGGGGTGAGAGGATTCACTGGGGCAGAGTGGGGAGCAGAACAGGTGGATGGGCTGAAATACACTGCTGAGGGGAGCCGCGGGCGAGACAGGAGCCGTCTACTGTACCATGTGGGTCAGTTTCCTGGGCAAGGACTAAACTGAGGCTCTTACACTGAGGTGGCAGTGTTGAGAGTTAACCCCTAGGTCCGGGGTGGGGGGGGAAGGGTGGGCAGAATCTGCTTTCCTAACGAGTTCCCAGGTAACATGATGCTGCTGGTTTTGAAACCAGCCAAGGAAAGAGGCTCATGTACTGCAGGAAAGATGTACAAGGACTGCTCTTAGAATGGCTGAAAAGTCTGTCAACAGGTGAGTGACTGCAGTCGGGCAGACTCACTCAGTGGACTATTAGAGAGTATCGGAAATGAGTGAACTGCTGCCTGCAGAACATGGGTGCATCTCCCAAACAATTTGAATATAAAAATTCAGACACAGAAGACAAATAGTATAATCCCGATCATAAAAGGCTTATAACTAGGTAAACTCAAACCATAGGACTCAACAGTTCCATGCAAATTTAGAGATAAAACTAAGTAAAGCAAGGAAACTGGGACTTCCCTGGTGGTGCGGCGGGTTAAAGCTCAGCACTGCGAGGCTAGCCGAAGCCACTTCAGCGGGCGATTTCCAGTCCGGGCCTGGAGGTCCGCAGACCTCTCCTGACCCGCCCGCTGCTCCCCTCGGCAGTGTACTTCATCGATCTGCCTGTTCTGCTCCCCACTCTGTCTCTGGTGAGGCCTCTCACCACCCCTACACCTCTGGCCTGTACCCCAGTTCTATATGGACAAATAAGGAAACAGTCAACACCAAATCTGGTGTAGTGATTTCCTCCAGGGGGAAGGAGAGTAAATAGATGAGAGCGCACATCTACCTCTCCAGCTGTGCTCTCGGCCCCAAGCCCACCACGGCAAGGCAGCCTTGCACGGTAGGCACCCCCATATAGCCACTTGCTCCTCCTTAGGGCCTTCTCTAGGTGGCACTGGACAAAGACTGCCAGGCTGGAAGAGGAAGGGAGGATTTCTCCTTCCTGTTTCTCCCCCGGGGTTTCCACGAGCTTCCTGCTCCTGTCAGCTGTGTTCCAGCAAAGCGCCGTTACCCGTCATCACTTCCTCCCCAGAGGAGCAGCTTCTTGTCTGCCATTTTTCTACACAGAAGCAGTTCATTGTCACCTCTCAGAATCACAAACCAGAGGCTCGGTTCCCATCCAACTGTCACCTCCCCATGCACCTACCCCACCCTGGAGACAGTGTCTGCTTCATGTAGTTGCTATGTCCAGGATACCCTTGGAGTTCTCTGTTTACCCTCCCATGCCCTAGTTAGCAACTTTATACCTAGTAAACAGCTCTTTATATCAAGTTCTTTCTGTCAAAATTACCTGGTGGTGCTTTGCTTCACACTTGTTGCTTAATAGACCGCCTCGCCACACCACATGCAGAGAGAGGACCAGGAAAAAGCAAAAGGCCCGTCCCAGCTACATCTGTCCCTTTCAAAGAGGATGACCAGCCATCCCAGTTTGTCCTGGATAAGGAGCTCCCAAGATGCAGGACTTTCATTGCGGTAACCAAGAAAGTCTAGGAAAACCAGGCTACATTGGTCATCGTAAGCCCTGTGACGTCTTTTGTTTTTTTCTAAAGATTTATTTATTTATGTATACAGAACTAGGGTACAGGCCAGAGATGGATTAGAGGATTCACAGAGACAGAGTGGGGAGCAGGACAGGCAGATTGGCTGAAATACACTGCTGGGGGGAGCAGTGGGGAGACAGGAGAGGTCTGCTGTGCCGTGTGGGTCAGCTCCACAGCTAGGGGTTGAACTTGCACTGAAGTGGCTGCAGCTAGTTTCATAGTGCTGCACTTAAACCCATTGTGCCCCCATATGGCCTCCTCGGCTCCTAGAAAGGCTGGGAAATAGAGTTTTTTAAAGCAGGACTTATACCATCCCAGGCAAAACCAGAGTTGTGTTAATGGGAAGGAAGAACAAGATGGCTGCTAGCATTGTACCCTTTACTATCAGGCTGTCAGCGTTACCCACCCCACAGCACCACCGCCGTCCCGTGGCTGCCGTCACAGCTGGGTGGAGAAGCCATTTTCTGGGGATAATGTCCCTTAGGACATGCAGCAGGTCTCATCCGAACAGCGGTTGTTTCTGGCAGCCTGGAGAAGAGAGAAGGATCACTTGCATCCCTTTAACTCTAAATCTTCAATGCCTATTAGCATTCTGTAGATGAGGGGCTGGGCAGTGAACCACCCTGCCCAGTTACAGATCGTGGTCCCCAAAGGGAAATGTGACAGTTTTACATAAGTTGCTTTTGTCTTTCTGCATTTACCATCCAAGATAGCCCCGTCCAGAGGGGACTTGGGGTTTTCAGTTCTTGGTCTCGACAGCGCTCGGGGATGCTGGGTCCTGTGCTCTCTCTTTTTATTGAGTATACCTGGTGCTTTTCTCAGACATTAATGATGGCTCTACCCTAGGTTTATTATAATGAGCCTTTGATACCTGCATTTGCCGTTATTGGCGCAGTAAGAAAATGCTGGCTAGCGAGGATTGCAAACCTAGTAAATTAATATGCTGACTCGCTTTAATTTCAACACTAGCACTTATTACTTATGGCATTAATAAAAAAAAAGAGGGAGGCAAAATCTTGTAGATGTAACCTTTATATTAAACTTTGTAACTCTTAGCCAACTTCTCTTTTTCCTTTGAAGCATTAATGGGTCACGTGGCTTTGCAAAAGACCGTCAAGAGGTCTCGGTCACCAGCAGAGGGAGGCTGGTGGCGCGCATCTCGTTGGCATTTGTGGCTTCCTCGCCCACGTCGCGTGGCTGCGGCGCGTGT